AAGTTTGCAATCGATTCAGGTCATACTTAAAATTAAAAGATTGTACATTTTTTCATCATTTTTTCCCTACAAAATGGCTATAGAAAACAACTCTTACACTTATCAAAAATCATACAACTTTGTAAAACCAAATAATATACTATTTTATTTCATTATGTAGTAACATATTTGGATAAGATGTAGGGATGCGTAGGATGCAAATGGATTTTGACAGACACAAAATACTTCCTGGTTTGGAATCATATGCCTCTACACTTCATGGTTGAATTATGACCCTAATAAGTGGCCTCTACATCAATACAGTGCTGAATATAGGTCAACAAGATACTAGTGTGCATATAAATGTAATAATTAAAGCAGAATACTAATTTTGAAAAATCAGATGAATTATTTTTTCTCATTTCTCATATGGTCCTTTAACATGGAATAATTGAAGTCCCTAAAAACAACAGGCAATTTTGTGAAAACATCAGAAGAAAATCGCCCATTGCCTGCTGCTAATGAAACCCCTGTTCTAACAGATGAGCAGTATTTTTATTTTTAAAAATTTATATGGGGCCTTTAATTATTTACACAAAATTGAACCTCGCGCAGATTGCCATTTTCAAAGGGCTGAAAAAGTTTCATCATGTTTAGGGTTATTCCGACCATGTACATTTTGATCCTGGTCCTGCAAATGATATGTGGAACTAGTTGAATTGACTGGAGGTCAAAACAGAACTCTGTTATCTTTGTTCAAAAAATGCAGCATGTTTTGTCACTTCCTGTTTAGTCATTTCCTGTTAAGTACCATGGCACCTTACAATGCCTTAAGAGATTTTTTGACTATAATACCAAGAATTTAGCCTTATGTGCATTCTATCCTCGAGATAAGAGTCTCGGGGTTAGTCTGGAAAGGCAAATCCATTTTGGTATGAGCACTCTGTTTAGTTTGAAAGCACACCGTTTATTCTTTACTGTTCACACTGAAGGAATGGATGATCCTACCAAAAAAAGATAAATTCAGTAGGCTATACTGGATACCTATTTAAAAAGTTACCCAATTTTTTGCAAAAAAAATTCCAAAAAGTAACAGTCGAATAAATTCACATTGTCGTACTTACAAAATGATCCACCACCTAACTTATGCACCAACGAACTCGGTAATATTGTACACGTAACTATTAATAAGGGTATATTCCCATGTAAAACTGGGCTTGCATTTCAACATTTCACTACGGAGCTTTTGTTTTTCTGACGCAATTTCTTCTAAGAAATCGGTCACATGACACAGTTCAATTCATATTATTTCAAAAGGCGTGCCACCTATTTAGAATATTTAATGGGTTGCTCGGGCATAAACTTAATCTGCCCTTTTCTTTTTTACTTTTCAATCCGCGTAACAATGATAATATGATGGAAAAAACTCTCAGCGATTGACGACCAGTCTTCAATTTTTAATCTTCGCAATGTAGCGTTTGACACCCCTCATTTTGGACAAGTCCAAGTAGACACTCTAAAAGACAATGTAATTTACTTCCTGCGAAAGCTATTTGGATTTTGATATAATAGCTTTCCCACGGAGCATTTGGAAAGCTGAATGATTGTGACCTTTGAAATCGAATTAAGTTGATCAGCGGCTTACTTTTGGTCTCTAACTGTGTCTAACATCAGTATCATCAATCCGTGTAAGTATTAGAGCGCTGAAATACTTCTTTTTCGATCAAGACTTGTAAATTGTTCATCGAGTGAATGTTTTTTAGACCTATTTCCAATATGGCGGTTTGCTAGGAGAGAGATACGCAATGAACGAAATGAATTTTGAGAATTAGTTAGGTTCAGACAACCTCCGGAGATTAACGAAAATGTCCGAGCAGAAAATGCCATATTGGAATTTGGCAGTAAAAACATTCACTCGACTAACAATTACAAGTCTTGATCGAAAAGGAAGTACTTCAGCGCTCCAATACTTGCACAGAAGGATGATAACGATGTATAACATAGTTAGAGAACAAAAGGAGGCTACTGATCGACTTAATTCGATTTCAAAGGTCACTATTAATTAGTTGTCCACTTCCCCGTTTGAGAGCCATAAGTTTCAAAATCTAACATGGCTCTCGAAGTGAGTAAAATGTAATGATACTTTCCTGAAAAAGCAAGGAAATACTCACATGCCTTCATACTTAATTTTCACGGGGGATAAGCAAAACGAGGGCGAAGCCACGGACTGCGACTCGCGTAATTCAAAACGAGGTTACAACGCATTATAGCTGAACAATGGCGGTAAGTCCAAACTTAATTTGGAAGGCATGTTAGGATTTGGGGTAGATTATTGGTTTGGATATTCTACAGAATAGCTAGTATGTTCCAGTCGGTGATCAACATATTCATACTCCACCTGCAATGGCATTCTTGGTGCTCGGCTGTCCAATAGTTTAGCATGAACACAAATGAATTCGAAATCTGCCACAAAAAAATGTAATTTTGTCAATATTTGTCCCTAATATACCGATTTAAACAAAGGAATCAGAAATGACATCGAATTAATATAATTATTCATGTTCTGTTGTTACAATTACATCTTCGTGTGATATTTGGTAAGCGGAAAACGTACAATTACATAGAAAATTGGAATTTATAATAGTCGCAGTCCATCCATCTGCCCAACGCAGTCCGCGACTCAGTGTTGCTTTATATCTGAAGCTGAACGCAATCACAGCCAAAGGTAGATAGCACAATGTGTGTACAGGTGTGGCCGAAATGGTGCAACTTTGGACAAAATTGAATATAAAGGGCTATTTTAATAGACCTACATCGTGTCTCAATCCATTCTGCAAATATATACAAGCTGTCAAATACAGCTGAAATCATGAATTTATGGTAGCTAGCAATATTGATGGACTGTTGGAAAGATCATCCAAAATTACATTAACTCACCAACTCTCCAATTATTTGATATTTTCCCGATATCTTAAATACTAGTTAATGTACCCTTCCCCAACAGCTTTTATTGCATCATCAAAAAGTTAATTGTTTCGCATTTCTACTTCTTATAAAAAGTCTCACCGCTATCCAATTATCTATATATTTAACCCTATCCACAAATTGGTTTGTAATAAACATATTACGTTATCATCTTGCGCTCGACTGTTCTGCCAAATACGCTATTGAATTGCCATATTTCTAGGTCTTAAACGAAACAATATAGCAATTTGGGACATTGATTCAGGTAATAGATATATGTTAATCAACGTAACTTTGAATGATAATCTGGATGCTGACTTTCTTTTCCTGAAACAATAATAGCGTAGGAATATAGTTTACACTATCTTATTTATTTCGTGTTCGCGGCTGGACTGCGTTGCTTAGAATATCAATGGAGGCTGTGTTGCGTTGTTGAAATAGCTTTGTTTACTGGACTGCGTCCACTATGGATGCGCAGTTTGAATCTAATTTACTCCTCATGAACACATTCTATTATCAAATCATTTTCACGAATTATACTCGGAGCCTCAACTAACCTTTAGATATCAGAAACGTGTTAAAACTCCTTTCAAATGTATAGTAAATTAAATAATATGCACATATTTTACAGGTAAAATCAGAACTTTGCTACTGTTTTAGCTTGATCTGGACAACTGCTTATTTTCTTATCTACAGACCAACAGTAGATACAGAGTAATATGTTGGTCACCGATTAGACACTACGATAGCATTTAAAATACCTGGATTTCTCTATTTTGTCGGACGAAGCAGAAGGCACTGCCAGATGTCCCTCCGTTTTGGCGCTGGGCTGCGGTGTAAAGTTACGCGAGTCGCAGTCCGTGGCTTCGCCCTCGTTTTGCTTATCCCCCGTGATTTTGTACCAGAAAATAACATGTGCAGGTTTAGCAATTTTTTTCCCGCTGAGCCTTAACCTAATTTACTCGTGGCAGGTTTCAAAACGTACACTGAGGTAAGAATCTATTACATAGCTAAGTTTTATAGTAATTCTTTATGTTCCCCACTGTACTACAAATTTTGTGAGGGGTTCAGTAGTATGTATCCAACAGACTGACTAGAAGTCAGTCTGTTATGATGTATTACTTTCCTGTGGAAATTGCAGTGAAATTTTTTGCACAAAATTATCAATTAGAGGAACCATTTCTTCAATAGAATAAACATTACAAAATTTCAATTAAATAGTAAGGTACAATTAAATGCAATAAAAAGTAACACAGCATATTGTTGAGCGGAAATAAAGCTAGTTGAAGTAACAAATGTGCAAATTAATTTTACCAATCGGCCATTTTGAATAGCACTTCCTATGTAAACAAACATTTTATATTACCAAACTTTAACATAGGTGCCTTATAGTCTGAATATAATTCAGACTAAATAGGATATAGTCTAAGGGGTTCAGGCCCGTAGCCAGGGGAGTTCGGGCGAACCCCCCTGGCCAAAATTTCTTTCAAAATCACGCAGTTTTTCACCATTCTGACTATTTTTAGAGTGATTTTTGGCCAAATTTGCCAAAGTGAACCCCCCTAGATTTTTTTGGAAAAGTGAACCCCCCCTTGGAAAATTCTGGCTAGATCTACGGGCCTGGGGTTTGTACAAAAATTACCTCACCTAGAAATCAGTGCAAACAATCAAGGCGATGTCGAATTTATCCAATAAGTTCGAAGTTACCCTAAGGTACAGTGGTACTTGTTACACCAGGAAAATGAAAGATGTTTTGTCGAACGTGCAAATTCTCACCGAATTTTTATTTATTTTTCATCTCTATAATTGTTTTTCTAGACACAGGAGGGTAAAAGAGGGAAAAATTTAGAGCTGTTTTGTTGAGTATAGTTCAAGCTATTATACTTACGAGTTGTAGCGGCGACAGTCCTCGCTAAAGGCGCTAATTTGTGCAACATTTCGGCGAAAATATTTTATTTCGGATCAAGGTCAAGATGGCGTCGAAAAGTGAGGATCGGGCATTCAAAAGTAAAGCGATTTCATTGGTGGATAAATTGATTTGAGGCGTCCCAAATAGATTATAAGGAAAAAAACTAGGAAATATAAAAATAGTTCGAATTCACCATTGTTTATTGAGAAATGGATAGGTTTTCATGGTCAGACGGACATCTTGCAACGCATGAAGTATTTGTGACTCAACAGAGTGGAGTAAAGTTATATGATGGAGAGGATAAGGTGATCATTTTTACATTTTTGTTTCAATTTTTTTGTAGAAAAAAATTTTCGAATAAATTTCATCAAGCATCAAGTGCACAAAGAGATATAGCAAAGCAACCTAGTGATAAACCAGCACAGAGTGACTATTAGGTGACATAAAAGCACCATAAGGATAACAATAACAACAACAGCATCATTTTAATTTCAACAACTTTCGTTGAGTAAAAACTGGAACCTTGTTAGGTTGTGCAGTGGGTTACTCAAGTCTCTGATGTTTTCTGCTGAGCTTTTTAGGAATCCAGCCAGCCATGATAGTGTAATGACCCAAAGGGGCACCTGGGGAATGACTAACGAGCATAGTGTAACAAGCCAGACACAGAAATGAAAGTGCTCTAAATTGAATGGCCAGTGCACAGGGGCCAGTGTGAGAATCAAACCAAGAATCCTTAGATCCTAAGGAGCAACTTGCTATCAAGGGTCGTTACACTATCTCCCCCTTTGAAAGGACCACACCCTCGTGGTCAGCCCTGCTTCCCTAGCAGAAGTGGGAAGTAGCTCAGTCGGTAGAGCATCCCACTTCTGACACCAATGTAATGACCCGAGGGCGCCCCAGGGGAATGTCTATCTAATGACTATAACGAGCATAGTGTAACAAGCCAGATAAAGAAATTGAAAGAAGGTGTGCTAAATTCAATGCCCAGTGTGGGAATCGAACCTAGGACCCTTTGATCCAAAGTCTGATGCTCCACTGACTGAGCTATAAAGGCTTGAGCCACTACAGCTGGACTGTAGTAGCAACTTGCTATCAAGGGTCGTTACATAATGACCCGAGGGTGCAACAGGCGACAATATGGTTTTTTACATCAACATCAGATGTAACATTCGGTATTCAAGTGTAAACTTGATTGGAATATTGTTGTGATAAGAATGCCAATTTCATACCAACATTGCTCACATATATGTAAATGCATGAGTTGACCATATACATATATGTATGTGTCTGCTAAATTGTGTCAATTAAACATCAAGAACTAAAATATTTATCTTTTATTTTCAGACCAATTTCAACAATGGTACAATTGTCCTCAGTTCACATAACTTGATGTGGAGGGATCATGTAGATCAGGTAAAGATCTTTGGATTGTAACAAAGAACTTCAATTCTGTTGTCATTTACGAATGTTCTTTGCATTTCTAATGGATGTACCATGGACCAGCTAGCTAGCTTTTGCCAAGTGGTATCCACTTTTTTCAAATATTTCAGGAGGTGGTTAAAATTTGACAATTTCAAAATAAGTTGAAAAGCACACAAAACGGCGATTTTAAAATAATTTTTGGCCAGGGGGAGGGGTTGCTATGCACATTTTTGGGACAATGTATATAATACATTGTAAAAGTTTAAAGTGGTTTTCATAGTTTTTAAAACACATAAACACAAAACGACTTTCAATGTTTCAAATGCGAAATATTAATATACTACATGTAGTAAACTGAAGATTATAAGCTCAGTTAAGTGTACAATAGAGGTATAAAATTCAAGGGATGTGCTATTTTTAATTTCAGAAATGTGTCATATCCTTGTCTCTAGCTCAGGTTGTCTTCTTAGAGGAATCAAGCAGTGGATTGGGAAGAAGGTAGGATACTTTTAAGGGGTAACTATGTATTCTAAAACATTATTGTCAAAATAGGTTTGCTTCAGTATTTTTTTTATTATGCCCATTTTATAATTTTAGGTCCAACAGTTGTAATTTATTTCAATCAGGATAACTCTTTGATTTGTTTAGAGTTTCTGTCAATAACTTTCAAAAGGAGAGCATTTCTTTTTTCTAATTTATTGGGACATGCTTGCATTTGATCAGATATATCTCAATTCTGCTTTCCAGTTATAAGAATTGTAAAGGGGGTCACTGGTACATGTTTGCTTTTGAAGAAAAGATTGCTTCTAAGATTTTGCTCTATTCAGGGGTTTCACTAGAATTTCTCACAACAGGCTAAATCAATAAAAGCAAGAGGCAAAATTAATGGAAATCAAAAATCTTACATGGCGAAGTTGAAAAGTCCCTAAAAACAACAGGCGATTTTGTGAAAATAACTGGTGAAAATCGTCCGTTGCCTGCTGCTAATGAAACCCATGAAGTATTATACAATTATTGACCTCTCCAGAGGTTTACTGTCAAAATTATATCCCGAGACTGTAAACCTGTAAACCTCGACCTACGGTCTCGGTTTACAGTCTCGGGATATAATTTTGACAGTAAACCGAATGGAGAGGTCTATAATTGTTTTGTTTTTGAAAACATCGTTTGATGCCTTGAATTCAGACTTGGTAATGTCCATCTTAAGTTTCTCTCTGATGTATCGTGCCACTCCCCATTTAAGAAGCTGAAATGATTTCAACTTATAAAGTCCACCATCTTTTTTTCTAATACCAACGTAAAACTTTTTCAAAAAATTATCTACATCTACCACGGCAGTAAGTTCACTCAATGGAGTCAAATTACTCTCCTGGGCGAAGTCCACTAAAAGCTTTGTACAAAGTTTTAGATTTTTCTTCGTATTTTGACTGTCTTTACTCTCTAAGAGACTAATAATATCCTCATCTTCAACATTTTTGAAACGGCTAGTGCTAGCGGCGGCCATTTTATCATCTGATAATGACGTCATTTTAGTGGAATGCTGGGAGTATTATTCACCGGCAATGCATTGCGTGGTGTACAGTTAAAATTATTCACCGCTCGTTGACCAATCAAAATCGAGTATTTCAACTGAGGTACTAACAATATTTATTGTCTCATTGAAGTTTATCATACAATACGATACATACCGACAATAACAATCAAACTATTTTTCACAAAATATAACCTACATGTACATGCATGAACAAGATTTGTCAAATTAAAACCATGTGTGTTTTTTCAGTGCCAAGATTATTGTACACCTAAGTGCCCCACCCTCTACTAAGGTACCTGGTCCTGTATCTTCCAGCCAGAACAATTACATCAGATTGTCCTTTACTGATGGGGGACAAGTGGAGGTGAGAGAGCCCAGTTGTTATAAACCAGAAATTTTTTTTTTGAAAAGCAATGGAGTAAAAATGGTTCATTTTCCACCATCACTCCAAAGTGAAAAACGTTGAGGAAATGTATCTTCCATTCAGATATTATATTAACTAAATTGCTAATATATACATGCATATGCTATTATATTTTATTGTATTACTTTTTTTATCAAGAGATTTTATTACCATTAATCATTATAAGTACATATCATACATGAGGGACCCAATCGCCAGTGGCATTATAGGTGTCCCTCAATGTAGTAATTATAATTTGTAAACATGGTTTATACACAGTTATATATTAGAAGAAAAATAAAAAAGAAAGCATCTGCATTTTAATTGGAGTGTAGGGGGGGGGGGGGGGCTGCTGCTTCTGCCTCTGGGGTCCTGGAAACAAAGATATAGTATAAATACAAAGATATAGTATAAATACAAAGATATTGTATTAATAGTATCTATGTCCTGTGCTGTAATGATAACAGCCAATAGTTATCAACAGCCCCTTTTAATTATAATTTCTTTTGTCTACTTATGCTTTCAGTTTTTTCGTTGTTTCACTGAGGAGTTAGCCAGAAGACGTTGGGAGCATACTCCAACCCTACAGCCACTGACTGCAGGCAGAGCACAATCTGGTACACAGGTACGTAAATCTAATTATATGCAACCACTGACTGCAGGCAGAGTACAATCTGGTACACATGTATGGAAATCTAATGCAGCCACAGGTACAATATGGTAAATTGATAAATCATCAAAACTTGCTATTTCACATTCTGCATCAATTGTAATTTTAGCACTTCAGTTTGAAAAACTTGCCATTTTCAAACATTTTGTTGTTCATACTAAGTTCATGTAGTTTTGTAATTTTGCAGATTTTATTCCTGTCCTTTTATTCTGAATAACATGTCGTACTTTCTTTTTGTTTTATAGAATCATAGATTTTGTAAAATAAATTGATGTAGAGCTTGAATTGTGTTCTATACAGGTATGTGATGATCTGTTTTATAGCCTAGGAGAGCAGGAATTGTTGGTATTGAAAGGAAAATTCAACAAAAGCATGAGACAACTGACAAAAACATATCTGTGGCATTTGAGGACCTCAGTAAACTAATGGTCAAGGTAAGTGTAAATTAAGTAAGTACATTGAATATGATTTTGGGTTGTATGTAAGTTCCATAATTGCTAGTTTATATCTCTTTATACCTCAGTCTAATCGATGTTGCTTTGAAACTTCATGTTTTGAATATGATATGGGGTTGTACAAAGTTCCATAATTGCTTTATATCTTAGGCCCAAATATTTTTACTATTTTTCGATTTTAAATGCTTCTAAATGATCTTCAAATGCTTAATATGATTTCTATTTGTAATGTTCATTTACTCGACTCAAAAATTCACTTCTGGTTCGTCTCAATAAAGATGAGCTGACCTCAGTCTAAATATAGCTTTTTAAGGTTCAATTGCAGATTGAATCGATCTTCATGCATATTTCGAAAATAGAACAACCAGAGAAGGTTTTAAACCGTGAAAGCCGACTCTAAAGCCAGAAAAAATTTTTGAACCATTTTATCGGCTGTAAAGTACAGTGTGCCTGTCATAGTTTTAAAACATAGAATGGTCCATAGAAATATTGCATATATGAAGTTAAATTCTAACAGAATCCTCTTTATTCTTCACTCTCCACTCTCCAAGAATTTTTCACTACTGAAACCATGAAGATGATTTCCAATGCTAGTCTGTAGCTTTAACTTAAACACCCCCCCCCGAAAACTGAGATTTTTTTGGCGATAGCACCCCCCCTGACTGAAAGCTGACTACGCCCCTGTTATGCCTCTGAAATGGATTGTGGTTCATATATTGATGAAACACACTATACTGTATATTAAAGTGGTATTAAATATGAGTGGTTAATTTGCTGAATTTTAAGCATTTTTCTAATTTTAGTTTTCCTAATAATGACAAGAAACTTCCCATTGGATAATCTTATGAAGATAATATTTCCGACATTTAATTTTCCGAACATGGCAAAAATTAAGGCATTGGGCAAATTAAACGAATACGGCAAAATTACCACTTATACAGTATACCCTGTACTACATGTATTCATAATTTGTAGGCCAAAGAGATGGTGTCACTCTCAAAGACAATTGCAAACAAGATCACAGACAAACAAGGTGCAATATCAGAAGATGAGGTAAGATAAAAGATACAATATCAGAAGATGATCAAGGTAAAAAGTTGCAATGTCTTTACTAGTAACAATGCACCAGTCCATACAACCTAGAACTTCAAAATTAATTTAAAAATCTACTGTACATGAGAATTAGGGAACCAAGATTAAATCTTGGCTGACATTTTTAGTTAGAAAAATGTTTTTGGCATGTTTTGAGTCAATAAAGAATTCTATTATTCATTGGTTCCCCTCTTATTGCAGACCGTAAAGTTCAAGTCTTATCTGCTCAGTATGGGTATCCCTGATCCTGTCACGCGGGAAACCCATGGCACAGGAGACGGCTACTATCGGGAATTGGCCAAACAACTGTCTCATAATCTCGAACAGCAACTGAAGGATTGTGGGGGCATGATGACCCTCAGTGATGTATATTGTCGCACTAATAGAGCTAGAGGAATGGAGGTATGACAGTCCCATCATTCATTTAGTAATTTTCAGAGGGTTAAGTCGCTAACCAATGATGATTCAGAGTGACCCTCCATAAGGGGTTTATAGTTTTAATATAAGGGTTTGAATAAAGTCTGCCCAAGTTCTGGTTAAATCAGCTGCTTTTGGTAGAACTGCAATATTTGATATTATAACATACCTATGATGATGTATAGTGCAAAGTGTACACAAGACAGCGGGCCAATATAAGTTTTGAAAAGCCCGCGCCCGCTAACTTTCTGATTGGTCAAGGCGCTGACGTCATAACCAATCAATCGAAGATAAAACTGCGCGAGCAATTTTTCTAACCTCATTTCAATCATTTTCAAACAATTTGTTTGTCAATTCTATAAGAAAACGGTACTCTCTGACCAGTCTACATCATCATAGGTATGCTATAAATCGTTTATGTCACTATCGTGGCACATATGCCCTCGGTTCTCAGAGATCAATGTCCCTCCCAAGGTCGGGCCATATATCACTGACACCTTGGGCATATATGCCACGATAGTGACATAACCTCCAATTACTGTTAATAAAAGAACTACCAGTATAAGCTGACCTCATTCTTTGAAGGCATACTTCAGAAATTACTTAAGCTAGTGTGTTTTTTTCAGTTGTTATCCCCTGAAGATTTGATCAATGCGTGCAATCTTTTGGAAGAATTAAAATTGCCGATTCGTTTCCGAGTATTTGACAGTGGGGTTATGGTGCTCCATCTATTGTCCCACAGTGAGGCAGAGGTCATAAATCAAACTACACAATTTGTAGAAGAAAATACAAAACTAACTGCGGAGGAGCTAGCTCAGTTGGTTGGTGTATCAGTAGTTCTGGCTAAAGAAAGGTAGGTGTACTAAGATATCAATAAATATGTCACCACCACAAGTGACAAGTGGTGACATATTGCCATAGTCTCCAACTTTTTGTGGATGGTGTTTGGCATTCGGCAGTTGATGTTTGGCATCTGTAACACATGGCAGATGGTGACATTTTGCATGTAAATGCCTTGTTTCTCTTGTAATAATTTTAAATGCCTATATCATATAATGAATGATTAGAAATAATTAAATTTATATATTGATGGCTTAAATGATAGGAAAATACAAAATACGTATTGAATGTGCATTTCTAATTTACACAAAATCTGATTAGCATATTGAACCTTGAGAATCAAGATGGATGGCAAAATTTGTAAAACTTAATACTCTCGTAAATGTTTTAAATATTCAATGTTCATTGTTTATCTTCCAGGCTGTTGTCTTCAGAGAAAGCAGGTAAACTGTGCAGAGATGAAACAGTGGAGGCCTTGAGGTTTTATCCAAACCTATTTCTCACAAAAACATGAACACAGTGATCACAAGAATACAAGACAGGAAGTGGTAAAATTGGCATCAGCTTGAGTAAAGACAAGCTGACTAAAATCTGTGTCAGTTGTATTTGCCTATAGGTTGTATGGGCCTTAAGTTGTGTGGTCCTTAAGGTTCTGTTGTCTTTAGGTTGTATGGACCTTAACGTTATGTGGTCCTGTCCTCAAGGTTGTATGGATGGATAGACCCAAAGTTGTGTGGTCCTGATGGATCTACCTAAACGTTTCTTGTACAAATGCCTGAACCCAGAAATCTGGGAATGCAGAAAAGGGTTACATTCACTGTATCAGCTATACATTGATGGTATATAGAACAATATAATAATGAATAATGAATAGCTAAGCAATGGACTTTGTGGTGTGTAATTATATGTAGGTGTGACTTTAAGGCAATACACTTACTATATGTAGGCTTCCCTCCACCTCATTACATTTTGAAAAGGAAGAGGCTCGATAGAGAGAGCTTTTTAGATGGGTATAAGTTTTTTATTTTCTACACGATCATTATGGAATTTTCAGACAATATCGGAGGTGTGATTATTATTATTATTTTTTATTATTATTTATTGCTCTCACTATTTACAACAGTGGCACATGAGGAGTATCAGTGCGGCAGAATGACATATCATTAAAATACAACATATTACAGCATTAAAAAACATTAAAATATTTGTTAAAATACATTACAATACTGATAATAGACTTTTATCTTCATTGTCATTACAGAAAGTGAAAGTGAATAAAATCAATGTTTGAATATCTCTTTATTGATATCAACTAAAAATGTTTTTGATAGCTTATCAAAAGTAGAACCTAGGTCCTGTCCCCAATATATAGCTACATCATCCCCCAAAATCCAACGTGTTTTCTCAGAAATGGAAAGTTGTAAAAAACTATTGACAATTGAATCCGGGCATTCTTTACTAAACTTTTCAAAAAACATATTTCGTTGTGTTGTTGTGGATGGGCAAGTAAATAAGCGGTGTTCAAGTGTATCTTTTTCTGAGAGGCAAGTACTACAGAACCCATCTGACAGTCCCCTCCTTTCAAGATCAGTATTCAAGCCCAGACATTTAGCGCGAGCTCTGAATTTGATATGCTGGCTGTAAAAATCCATGCCTGTTTTCAGATAATTTTCTAAAAAAGTATGGTTCTTAACAGTCTTGAATAGTGACAATGATGATTTATCGCATATTGCCTCATTAAAGCATCTTACCCATTGTTCATTTGAAATATTTAAATAAGATGTGTACCAGTTAGTATCGTCACGGTATATAACATCATCAAGTCCAACCTCAGTTAGGATTGAGTGGACATTTTCCATAAAAGGCCATGATGCCTTGTGACCAAGCTTAAACTCATGTAGCAAATAATTGAAAATATCTTTATGGAGTCCATTCTTCAAGGAACTTTTTAAATAAATAAAATAATCAATCTGGCGTTTATGTATAATATCACAGATTGGTCTCCACCCAAGGTCACCAAGGAGGGATTCTCTTGCAGGGTTGCATTTGAGTTGCATTAAGGCCTTAGCCATTTTGTATTGCATAGTGCTAAGATATTTTTCGGTGGTCTTATTCAGTAACATTACTCCACAACCATGGAGTATTGCAGGCAAAAACATTCCGTTATACATTGTATTGCCAAAATCAATTCTTTTCATATTACAATGCTTTGTCAGTGTAGAGCAAATCATATTTTGAATTCTTCTTGACTTGGGTTTTAAAGTGTCTTTAATGTGGTAAGTATCCTTCAAAGAACGGTCAAAATAGATACCCAAATACTTGTAGACTTTTACTTCTGTCAATTCATGTTCCCCTAATATCCATTTTTTCTCATAATTGATTCTTTGCCCTATAACCATTACTTTCGATTTTTTCGAATTAAATTTAAAACCCCATTCAACTGCAAAAATGTCAGTTACTTTTAAAAGTTTATTCAATTGCTGCTCAGACTCGCCCATAAGCACTATATCATCGGCGAAAAATAAAGATGGAATTTTTTTACCTTTAAAGTCAAAGCCAATGTTTTCCTTTTCAAGTGAGCTTAATAAGTCGGTCATTATAATAGAAAATAATGTTGGGGAAAGGCAGCAACCTTGTTTTAAACCTGTTTCTGAGTCATACCATGGAGTTGAAAAATTTCCAAAAACCACCTTATTAGATATACCTTCATATGTTTTCCTCAGGAGTCTCCAAAATTTACCCTGTATCCCTTTTCCCATAATTTCGTAAATAAAATATCCCGATCAATCACGTCGAAAGCCTTGGAAATATCAATAAAAGCCAAAAAAGATTTTTTATTCTTTGCCTTTCTTATGCCACATAGGCCCTTTAAGGCAAATATATGGTTTTCCAATCTCAAGTTGGATCTGAAGGCACCTTGTGTATCCCCAAAGATATTTCTTTTTTCACAAAATGACCTTAATTTACTTTCCATGATAGAAGTGAAAACTTTATAAACATTAGAATTAACTGTGAGGCCCCTGAAGTTATCTAAATTCTCAATATCATTATTTTTGTGCAGTGGTTTTAATAGGCCTTCTTTCCATTCTTTAGGAATCAGCTCCAATAGTCTTACCTTGTTAAAAAGGTCAAATAATGGTTTCATTAGCGCAACTCCACCATTTTTCATAAATTCATTCGGTATCTGATCTGTTCCACAAGATTTGCCATTTTTCAAATTTTTAATACATGTGGTTATGTCATCAAATTCAAAAGCGCAAAATAAAAGTGAGTCGGTTGAAAAATTTGACATTGACTTTAACTCATCAATTCTATCCTGATGAATTTTTATATTCTAAAATATTATTGTTGAATTATGAAAAACGCATTTTGTAGAACTTTTTTGGCGAAGCGATGAAATTCCATCTTTTGTACATCCATATTTTGTACCGTTTTTCAGTGCGTAAATAGAATGACTTAACGTTTTTTAAGCAGCAAAATAACATATATCGTAACCACATAATAAAGCAAAGTCTTATTTTCTGTAAAGAAATCGTGATTCGATCCATAAGAAGTATGTCTTAAAATTGATGAGAAAAATGGTTTCATTTTTTCAATATTTTTGAGCGATCTCTTTAGTAGAATTTTACTTGTGTTAGATAGAGGTCGTCTCGCAAAACCATTATGTGCAATTTTCGCTTAAAATTGATTATTTTTGGAAATGATTCACTCGACGAAAATTAGATGTCGTTGCATGTCGTCTATGGATGGTCTATCTTTCTTGAGTAATTCCAAGGCCGAGAGAAATAGCCCAAACGTACCGCGTTCGTAATTTCAATGTTTTCTGCGTTCGGCCTTTTATCGTAAACTGTTCTATCATCAATGAAAAAGAAGGGTGCGCGAACTTTGAATTTATTCAGTGTGGGGGTTACCCTTCCCCCTTTTGACATGAAGGCCAGAGCTGAATATGACAGCACATGTTAATGAATGATTGGTAAGTGAAAACAATCTATCTTTATAACGGAATATATTCCCTATAGTTAAGTGTATTTCTGGTCACGAAACGTTAAGAAATACTAGATATAGTAACAGTTCAAACAAAGCTTGTCCCCGTCTGTTTTGATTGTTTGACCGGGAAACCAATGGGGTCTTCTCATCTGCATAATCAAGTCACGTTATATCGCACTATTAGAGCTGGGTAACTGGTAAGCAGAAAACACAATCGCCACTTCAAGTACATTTCACTGTTTTTTCTTGCGCTTTTTTCTTAGCTCTCATTTATGTATCATACGTTTAGTCAATCAATTTTGTAGCTAACGATTTGAACGGATTGCAATGAAATGACCTTTATGCGGTCTGGCTACGTACGGCCTGTTGATTTCTACGGGGAACGCAGAAATTAACAAATATTGTAACCCCGAGTTATAAAATCTACGGCTTCCCTTCACTGATATAATTGATCTGCGCTCTACTTACGGCCGCTGTGCGACAAATGTGACTGGGGAGTAAATTGATCTGCGGTTGACGTAGTCGCCTTTCAAGTTAAGTATTGAGATTTCTATTCTAACCTTCACTTAAGAAACATAACATTAACTAGGATGTGGCTCTGCGGCTGCTGCAGAAAAACCGAGTGTATTATTTACATACAATAATGTTATCGTATAGCCTATACATGCTGGTTGCCAAAATATGGCTCTGCGGCTGCGTCGCCGCTGGACAATATACAAAAATGTTTATAATGGACAATTGATAGGCTTTCTCGATAATGTAGTTATAACAAATCTCATTTCAAAATTAAAAACTTTCCGACCACCTGTAAAACCTTTTCTATCTTTAGCATCACAAACTCATTAATGCCCATTATTATTCTGTTGAGAACATGATGCTAAAAATCTTTGAAATCCTCAACAATTGAGGTTATAAGGAAAAAGGTTTGTCCGAAAATTTTTCATAAACATTTTAAAGACATAGACTTAGTTTATCTCGCCGCTTAGAGCCGAAGTGATCTTATTCACTAATACATACACCGTTAACTCAGTAATGCTGCATTTACAATTACCGTTCTATTTTCATAACGTTAAACGACCAAATAGAAATCATTTTCTTGCTAATTCGTACTACGTGACTCAAACGCAATAAAATACATTTCTTGTATAGTGATAAGACCGGATACATTTCAATTTATTTTAGTATTCCCACGATTTGTTATGGGGTAATGACCATAGATGAATTTTATTTGTAATCATGATGGCTTGTTTTTAGTCGAGTTACAGCACTAGTACTTCCATTGACTGACTTGTTTAAACTAACACTTCTCCCTACAATGTACAACAGTTTTTAATGCATGTAGGCATACACCCATTGCAAGCAGAAACACCGTACTTCAATTTGTACAGCAGTAAGGGTCGAGCACATGTTGTAAAAGCTGCATACCGAATTTTCCCTCAAATATTTGTAAAAGTTGTTTCAATTTAAAGGCTTGATTTGAGATAAGGTATAAGCCTTGTGAGACGTGACCTATATATCATACAGGAGTCGATTTAATATTTTACGCTCACACATATCTGACATAGCCTAACATGTTATAAATTGAGAGATTACAAAATATATGCAATTAGCATTTATATCACAGTTAGCTAGAACAACCATTTCGTGACAATTAGCCCACGTTATGCCTGGGTCACATAGGTGTCTGGCCGATTGAGTGTTTTGTTCAAAATTGTATTTGTTTGAAACAAAATACTCAATCGGCCGAGGGCCGACCGATGAATCGCAGCAAATATGAACCTGGCATTATGTAACGTTCCCTTTTTTACAAATACAATGTATCTTGGGCTTTTTTATATTTTGATATTCGTTGCTTATTTTCACGGCTTGATTGACGCACAAATATTTTGATTGTACGTGCTCATGACAGGTTTAGGCATTAATGGGTGACAACGTCTGTCAAAATATTGCACGTTGGTTGTGTTGACGTGATTTATGACTGAATACATA